TATATACATACATATATATACATATATATACATATATACATATATATATATATACAATATATACATACATATATACATACATATATATATATATATACATACATATATATACATATATATACATATATACATATATATATATATACATATATATATACATACATATATACATATACGTACATATATATATACGTATAATTCTGAAATTTGCAATGTAATACAATGACAGATCCCCTTTTATCAAGCATGTCTTTGTTCTACTATTCTAAAAAGACTTATAATTGTACAACTATGAGTTATGTTTTAACTGCTGCAGTTTAGACTGTGTTTTAGTCACTATTTTCAATTATTTTGATGATGCATCACACATGTAATTTAGGCTAAAAGTTTCTTAGTTATTTGCTTTTCTATTTGGGTAAGCAAAAAGGCGAGGATTACTTAAATTAGGAGGAGGTTTCATTTACAAGATGAAAAGAGTATACATTTATATGCAAATTCTGGTGTTTCAATGAATATGATGGAAATAAGCATATAACATGCAGTAACTACAAAATATTAGGAGTAGCGAAAACGCTTCAAAAACATTTTCTTTAATTATGAGCCTCAATCAAAATCAATAGTTATAATACATAAGAATAGGTGAAGTACATTGAACTGTTTACTGTACTTTCAACTTCACCTCCAAATGACACAGCAGGTGAAAAAATGGGTAGGTGTGCAAGACACCTTGATTCAGGAAGTCTAGTTGCTTTCCTATTAAAGTCCACGGTTGCCATGATCAGATGGCTGAATTTAGACATAAACAAACCTTTAGTACAAAAAGAAAAACATGTCTCTCAATGTTGCATATTTGTTTGAAACAAGCTTGTTTTCATTAAGAGAAGTTACTGAAAATAGATGGAGCAGCCAGAAATTTAAACCAAGAAAGAAAATTTGATCATATTTTTACTCAGGTAAGTTACAAGTGCAATGCTGTAAAACTACTTCTTAAATTACCATTTTTTTCCCCCAAGTCATTCACTTAAATGTAACTGAGTAAAAGTAACTAGTTACTATCCTCCTCTGCTTATTTGTATTTATCATTTTCTTTTAGTCTTAAAAAAAAGTAACTTTCTCACAAGGTACATGAGCAAGTTACTTTTCTTATAAGCTATAATTTGATTAAATTCAGGTCACCAGATCATCCAGTCAAATTGATTAAAAGTTTTCTATCTAAAGAAAACCAGTTGATTGCATCTGCTAATTGACTTAAAGGCAATCCCTCACACTAAGCATGCTTGTAGCGACAGTAGAGAGGAAAAACTCCCGTTTAACAGGAAGAATCCTCCAGAAGAACCAGGCTCAGTGTGAGCGGCCATCTGTTGAGGACGACTGGGGTTCAAGGAGACAGAAAAAGAGATACAAAAGGTAACTGTAAAAGGCAGGAAACACACAGCCAGGCAGACGAGCCTGATTATACCGTATAATCAGATAAACTATAACTTTAGGTTACGGTTTATCTAATTATATAATTCAAATACTTAGTTACTCAGTAATCGAGTTATGCTACTTTATTTGAGTTGAAGTTTTTGGTACTCTCCCCACCTCGGGCTCTAAAGCATCCTCCAGCCAGTTAGACCAGTAAATGGAATTCTTTGGACAAAGAGGAGGCCCCATAAACCCATTAGACCAGCGACCCCCAGCCCAGGTCCTCGGGGCCCGGTTCCCTGCAGGTTTTCTACGTTTCCCCTGATGACAAACAGCTAAATTAGTTGAACGGTGACATACCAGGAGGTGATGCAACCATTCTAATC